TCAGTATATTCTTTTTTAAAATATTTATTTATTTATTAAGATTTATTTTTTTTACTTGAAAGTCAGAGTTACACAGAGAGAGAAGGAGAGGCAGAGAGAGAGAGAGAGAGGTCTTCCACCTGATGGTTCACTCCCCAACTGGCTGCAATGGCTGGAGCTGAGCCGATCTAAAGCGAGGAGTTTCCTCCAGGTCCCCCATGTGTATGCAGGGGCCCAAGGACTTGGGCCGTCTTCCACTGCTTTCCAAGGCCACAGCAGAGAGCTGGATCCAAGTGAGCATCTGGGACTTGAACCGGTGCCCATATGGGATGCTGGTACTGCAAGTGATGACTTTACTCAGAATGCCACAGCACCGGCCCCCTATTTATTTATCTTTGAAAGAGTTACAGAGGAAGAGATAAAGAAAGAGAGGTCTTCTACTATCTGGTTCACTTCCCAAATGGCCTCAATGGCTGGGGACTATTAAAATTTTAATTATTCATAAATGATCAATTTATTAACTTGCTTTATTCTCACTATAAGCAGATATATAGGCCGGCGCCGCGGCTCACTAGGCTAATCCTCCACCTTGCGGCGCCGGCACACCGGGTTCTAGTCCTGGTCGGGGTGCCGGATTCTGTCCCAGTTGCCCCTCTTCCAGGCCAGCTCTCTGCTGTGGCCAGGGAGTGCAGTGGAGGATGGCCCAAGTGCTTGGGCCCTGCACCTCATGGGAGACCAGGATAAGTACCTGGCTCCTGCCATTGGATCAGCGTGGTGCGCCAGCCGCAGCGCACCGGCCATTGAAGGGTGAACCAATGGCAAAGGAAGACCTTTCCCTCTTTCTCTCTCTCTCACTGTCCACTCTGCCTGTCAAAAAAAAAAAATTAAAAAAAATTAAAAAGTAGATATATAAATTTAACTAAATGTTTAAATTATATAGATTATGTATATGGTTATATTTTATATATTTTAAATGCATTTATTTGATGCTTTGGAAATCACAAAATAAGATCTTTTTATTCTCTAAATTATACAGTGGTGTTTTTTGGGGAATATAAATATAAGATATTGAATTAACAGATTTTAGTCACCTTGAATTGATGATAAAATGTAGAGTACAGCAGTTGGGCCACTGCATTCCATATCAAAGTGCCTGGGTTTGAGTGCCACCTCCACTCCCAACTCCAGCTTCCTGCTAATGTACACCTTAGGAGGCAGTGGTGATGGCTCAAGTAGTTGGGTCCCTGCCATCCTTTTGGGAGAGCTGGATTGAGTTCTCAGCTCTTGCAGAAGGGAACTCTTGCTGTCTTTCTCTTTCTCTCAAGTAAAATAAATTTTAAAATTTAAGCATAAATAAATGCACATATTAAAATATAACTTAGGGGACCAGCGCTGTGGCACAGCAGGTTAAAGCCCTGGCCTGAAGCCCTGGCATCCCATAAGGGTGCCGGTTCTAGTTCCAGCTGCTCCTCTTCTGATCCAGCTCTCTGCTATGCCCTGGAAAGCAGTAGAAGATGGTCTAAGTCCTTGGGCCCCTGTACCCATTTGGGAGACCTGGAAGAAGCTCCTGGCTCCTGGCTTCAGATCAGTGCGGCTCTGGCCGTTGTGGCCATTTGGGGAGTGAACCAGCAGATGGGCAACCTCTCTCTCTGTCTCTACCTCTCCCAGTAACTGTCTTTCAAATAAATAAAATAAATCTAAAAAAAAAACTAGTTATTTTAAAAAACTAATTCAATATGAATTTATCTTGTCCAATGTTTATAGTATTGCCTGCAACAGTTTTATCTCAAATTCTGACCAGTATTTCTTCATTTTATCTTTCAAGTGTGAATAATTTCTTCCAAGTTATTGTGTAAATAAATAATTCTTAGTAAGTAGTAGTTAGTTGTATATTCTCTTGTGAAACAAGTGTACCCTTAGTATCTCAATACTTTTTTCATGCCACACTTAGGCCCAAATACCTAAGACATTTGGATTTATTTATTAAGTAGTTAGGACCAAATAATTTAATAACTATTTATATCCTAGCAGCTTAGTAGCCACTGGGAAAAATAATGCAAATTAATACATTCTTTTTATTTTATTGTTAAGGACTGCAATTACCCGTCATTGGGAATGTGCACCTGGTGGGCACTGAACATCTTCTCAAACCATGGGATCGGATCCAGAATAGCGCTCTCATTTCCTGTTCCACTGCACTGATCCCACTTGCACTACCTTTTTATCATAGCAGTCAACAAAAACAGCCTCACAAAGATACAAAGAAAAGAACTTTGGGCTAATGTTAAAATGTAGCCACCTCAAATGGGTCATTTGCACACCCTATTGCCAAGAGATGTTGCCCTTTTACCCACCATAATTTAAAATATACCACTGTGTAGATACCAGCACCCCAGAACAACTAAAAATGATTCGTAAATTTATTCCCTGCATTAATTCTAGGTGCATGATCATGTATCAAATGAGCTAAAATTCTTTGTTTCACTCTTATTTCAGCTTCTTATATCAGTTATTCCTCAATTTTCATGTGTTAAGGATGCAAGGATATCTGGTTTGAGTATACTTCCAATTTTTTTTGAAGATTTATTTAAAAGGCAGATTGATGGACAGGGAAACAGACAGTGAGATCTTCTAACCTCTGGTTTATACCCCAAAGCAGCAACAGCTGGGTCCAGGCTAGGCAGAACCCAGGAACCCAGAATAACTTCCAGATCTCCTTTATGGGTGGCATGGACCCAAGTACTTGGGCTATCTTCCACTGCTTTCTGAGGCGCATTAGCAGGGAATTGGATCCAAAGCAGAACAGTTGGGATTGGAACTGGTACTCTAAAATGGTTGTTTTGTTAATCTGCATAACACGTCAGCCCTGGAATTTTGAATCAAGAGACAAATATTTATAGGAACTTATGTGGTCCTTTTTTTCCTCTGGATTTAATTTTAATTCCACTTTCTTGAAATTTAAACAAGATGGTTACTAAATAAATACAATTTATTCAACAGCAAATCCAAAGTACCTTTTTGGTGTTAATAAATGGTACTTACAGGGCCAGCGTTGTGGCACAGTGGGTTAAGCCACCTCTGGTTCAAGTCCCAGATGCTTTACTTCCCATCTAGCTCCCTGCTAATGCACCTGGGAAAGTGCTTGAGCCCCTGCCACCCATGTGGGAGACCTGGATGGAGTGCCAGGCTCCTGGCTTTGGCCTGGCCTGGCCTGGCCCCAGCTGTTGCTGCCATTTGGGGTATGAACCAATGGATGGAAGATCTTGCTGTCTGTCTTCCTTCTCTCTGTTCTTCTGCCTTTTGAATAAATCTTAAAAAAAAAAAATGGAAGTATACTTACTCAAACCAGAAATCCTTGCCATTTGAGGAGTGAACCAGCAGATATAATCTCTCTCTCTCTCCCCTGTGTGTGTGTGTGTGTATCTGTTTCGACTTCTCTCTCTGTAACTCTTTCAAGTAAATAAATTTTAAAATAAATAATAAAAATAGTACTTTTAAAATAAATGAGCTGAACTCATAAAGAATATGTAGCTTAGAAAATTTAATCCCTGCTCCTATCACTTTAATAATGATCACATTACTTTTATTCTTTAGTTATTTCACAGAGCAAGATTTGGAATAAAAGCATATTCTTTTGACTGCTCTCATTTATAGAATACGAGTACAAGAAAAATGGGAAGAAAACAAATAATAGATATTATAGATTTTGGATTTTTCCATGTAGCTATTAAAACAACACAATATTACATAAATGAAAGGAGACATGAATTGATGGGGTAGTTAGGTGGCTGCCTTTAGGAAAGTTAGGGAATAGCCTGAAATCCCACTATAGATGTGGGCCAGGGAAGGACCTCGTCTCCTTTTGCAGCCATGTGTGCAGCATTGATGTACGAAATGTATTAAAGTAATGAGAACCTACACAAAATGGGATGCATCATTCATTAAGGAGTGTGATGGGAGAGGAAATGATTGATTAACTGGAAAGAAAGTACCTCCTATGCTCCTAGATAGAGTTAACTAAAACATGCCTTTTTCATTCTTTTTTTTTTTAATCTTCTAACCTTTTATTGAATGCTTTTACAACTGGACAACATAGTATTGCCTTTTTCATTCTTCTTGCAGGGGAGTGCAGTATGTATATATAATATATATAATTATATATGTATATATATAGTTGTTATTATTATTATTATTATTCCAGGTTCTTGCCATGTACAAAGAGAAGAATTCTTTATTCAAAAGTTGAGAAAGCAAATACACACACACACACACACAAACACAATGAATGTAGGTGCTCCCCACAGAGAGATACCCCTCATGGGTAGGCAGTGAACCAAGAAAGAATGGGGATGGGAGAAGTCAAGGAGAGAGCACTTCCCAGCACCGCCCCCTGAGTTGTGGTCTCCAGCAGAAGAAAGAGAAAGCAGCTCCCAGCACCTCGTTTTATGAGATGGCAATGATGGTGGGTTGAAGGTTTGCCTCTACAGATATGAAGTCACCTGGGAGTTTTATGATACTTCTATAAAATTCCCCATGGAGCTTAATATTCATATTTCAATGGCACCTTTCCCCCAGGTCCTGCATGAAACAGAAGTATCCTGGGAAAAGGCATGTTTTGATTGACAAGTAGGAGAAAAGAATGACACGGGAGGGCAGCGGGTAGTTGTTTGCAGGTACCTACAGTTCAGCAGATCCACTTAGCTGCCTTCCTGTTGCATATCATTATGATGTAGATTTTTTTAAATCTTTAAATACTTAAAAGCCAAAAGTGTTCTTAAAAATCTGCTGGTATAAAATTAGAGGCTTACAGAAATTAAAAAATAGATTTGTACATCTAAAAAATTCAACAAGTCTTGAGAAAATAAGTAGACACCATTATTCTGAAGCAGCCAAATGTAAAAAAAAACAAATGCAGACAATTTACTCTGACAAAATAGAATTTAATTTCAGAAGGAAGTTGAAATGATAAATCCTATGAATAGTTTATCTATTGATATAATGTATGTTGTTTAATATTACAGCCTACTGATGCAACAAAAGTAGTCTCTCATCCAATTACGGGGGAAATTCAGGTAAGAAAATTCTAGAAAAATCATCATCATTCCATCAGTTTTTGGTTGTTTTGTCACTAGTCTATTGAAATTGTAAAAACATCATTAAGATCTTTTTGTTTCTATAACACATACAGAAGCATAAAGGAAAAATGCAATTTGATAAGTATATTAATACAAATATACATTTTCTGAAAGCTAATCATAGCTATCCAATTTTATACTTTTATACTTTGAAATCTGCCTGTGGCAGTGTCAGTCTGTTTTGTGCTTCAGTTTTTTATATATATATATAAAATATACATATATATATAATATATATATATAAAATATACATATATATAAAATATATATCTATATTTCAGACAGGACAGATTCTCTTGTAAATTTAGAGATCCTTTTTTTAAGTCTAATTGTATCTTTTTTTCTTCTTTTCATCAATAAGTGCTAAATAATTGCCCAATTCTTTTAGAGGAATATTTTTTCATATGATTTGTAATTTATAAAATCAATTTGAGAGGTTTTGACCAGGAAAATAGAATATGGTATGTGTCACTATATTTTTTTAATTCTGTGTGTGTTTATGTGTTTGTATATTTTATTGTAACATAAAATATATTTCTTAGTGTGGGGCATGGTAAAAACTATTAGAGAAACCATGATTTAGGTGATACCAAAAAGTAATTTAGTATAGATAAGAAGTGTCACTTACAAAGAATTAACACAGTGTAAATTAACTATTTGAAAATAGTAAGCTTTAGATAAGGGGAAGAGATATTAGTTGTATCTCCAATGTATTTTTAGTGGAAATTTTCACAAAAGACTTCACAAAGGATAACAGAGGTCTAAACTAACTTGAGAATAAGCATAAAGGGGGCAGAAAAAATGGTGCAAGGAAAGGTACTGTGGTTAGTAATGGCATGAAGAGTCAAACTCGAGAAAGAAGTTGAGACTCAATTTATCATCTAGAGATGTTAGCCACTACATAATACAGCATGTCCACTCAATATCTTGGAGTAAGAAAAAGACTAACCAAAGGAATATGTAATAATAGTAGCTATGGCTGACTGTGGCCTACAAAGGAATCAGTTGAATGATTAGCTCAGTCTACACTGCTAAAAGCAAAAGCAGAGTATAAAGGTGGAAGTGGAAGAGAGGTGCAGAATGCAACACCCTACAAAGAAGGGATTGAGCCTGATACCCTCAACTCCACATCTTGCTGTCTCTCTGCTGTTTCTTGCTTCTAGAAAGCCTGTTTTTCACTAGACTTGATCTTTCTGCCTTTGTCGAGCGGCAAAGAAAATGATGGAATTTCTGATTTTTTTTTGGACTGGTATCTGCTGTATTTATTTTGGTTTGCTGTTTTGATTTTTCACTACTTGGACAGTAGGATGCAATTTTATAGTTGAAATTTACCCTAATAATATTCTTTCTTAACTCTTGAGATAATTTCCTAAGACTGTGGATTATTTATATATATTATATATTATATATTATATATATAGATGCTTCTTAGAAGATTTTTTTAAATTGATAAAATATTGAATGATAATGTATTGCAAGGTTTTTTAATTTTTTAATTTTTTATTTAGTAAATATAAATTTTCAAAGTACAGTTAATGTATTACGATGGCTTCCCCCCCATAATTTCCCTCCCACTCACACCCCTCCCATCTTCCCCTCTCTCCTATTCCATTCACATCAAAATTCATTTTCAATTATCTTTATATACAGAAGATCAATTCAGTATCTATTAAGTAAAGATTTCATCAGTTTGCACCCACACAGAAACACAAAGTGTAAAATACTGTTTGAGTACTAGTTATAGCATTACTTCACATTGGACACCACACTAAGGACAGATCCCACATGAGAAGTAAGTACACAGTGACTCCTGTTGTTGACTTAACAATTTGATACTCTTGTTTATGGTGTCACTAATCTCCCTAGGCTCTAGTCATGAGTTGCCAAGGCTATGGAAGCCTTTTGAGTTCACTGACTTCGATCTTATTCCGACAGGGTCATAGTCAAAGTGGAAGTTCTCTTCTCCCTTCAGAGAAAGGTACCTCCTTCTTTGATGGCCCCGTTCTTTCCACTGGGATCTCACTTGCAGAGATCTTCCATTTAGGTCTTCCTTTTTTTTTTCCAGGGTGTCTTGGCTTTCCATGCCTAAAATACTCTCATGGGCTCTTCAGCCATATCCGCATGCCTTAAGGGCTGATTCTGAGGCCAGAGTGCTATTTAGGACATCTGCCATTCTATGAGTTTACTGTGTATCCCACTTCCCATGATGGATTGTTCTCTCCCTTTTTGATTCTATCAGCTAGTATTAGCAGACACTGGACTTGTTTGTGTGCTCCCTTTGACTCTTAGTCCTTTCATTATGATCAATTGTGAACTGAAATTGATCACTTGGACTAGTGAGATGGCATTGGTACATGCCACCTTGATGGGATTGTATGGGGATCCCCTGGCATGATTCTAACTCCACCATTTGGGGCAAGTCCGATTGAGCATGTGCCAAATTGTACATCTCCTCCTTCTCTTATTCCCACTCTTATATTTAACAGGAATCATTTTTCAGTTAAAATTTAAACACCTAAGAATAATTGTATGTTAATCACAGAGTTCAACCAATAGTACTAGAACAAAACAAAGAGAAAATACTAAAATGGATAAAGTATTACATTGTACATCAACAGTCAGGACAAGAGCTGATCAAGTCACTGTTTCTCATAGTGACCATTTCACTTCAACAGGTTTCCCCTTTGGTGCTCAGTTAGTTGTCACCGATCAGGGAGAACATATGATATTTTTCCCTTTGGGACTGGCTTAATTCACTTAGCATGATGTTTTCCAGATTTCTCCATCTTGTTGCAAATGAACAGATTTCGTTGTTTTTGACTGCTGTATAGTATTCGATAGAGTACATGTCCCATAATTTCTTTATCAAGTCTACTCACCACATTAACAGACTGCAGAAGAAAAACCATATGATTATCTCAATAGATGTAGAGAAAGCATTTGATAATATACAATAACCTTTCATGATGAAAACTCTAAGAAAACTGGGTATGGAAGGAACATTCCTCAGTACAATCAAAGCAACTTATGAAAAACCCATGGCCAACATCCTCTTGAATGGGGAAAAGTTGGAAGCATTTCCACTGAGATCTGGTACCAGACAGGGATGCCCTCTCTCACCACTGCTATTCAATATAGTTCTGGAAGTTCTAGCCAGAGCTATTAGGCAAGACAAAGAAATTAAAGGGATACAAATTGGTAAGGAAGAACTCAAACTATCCCTCTTTGCAGATGATATGATTCTTTATTTAGGGGATCCAAAGAACTCTACTAAGAAACTATTGAAATGCATAGAAGAGATTGGCAAAGTAGCAGGATATAAAATCAATGCACAAAAAATCAACAGCCTTTGTATACACAGGCAATGCCATGGCTGAGGAAGAACTTCTAAGATCAATCCCATTCACAATAGCTACAAAAACAATCAAATACCTTGGAATAAACTTAACCAAGGACCTTAAGGATCTCTACGATGAAAATTACAAAACCTTAAAGAAAGAAATAGAAGAGGATACCCAAAAATGGAAAAATCTTCCATGCTCATGGATTGGAAGAATCAATATCATTAAAATGTCCATTCTCCCAAAAGCAATTTACAGATTCAATGCAATACCAATCAAAATACTGAAGACCTTCTTCTCATACCTGGAAAAAATGATGCTGAAATTCATATGGAGACACAGGAGACCTCGAATAGCTAAAGCAATCTTGTACAACAAAAACAGCCAGAGGCATCACAATACCAGATTTCAGGACATACTACAGGGCAGTTGTTATCAAAACAGCATGGTACTGGTACAGAAACAGATGGATAGACCAATGGAACAGAATAGAAACACCAGAAATCAATCCAAACATCTACAGCCAACTTATATTTGATCAAGGATCCAAAACCAATCCCTGGCATAAGGACAGTTTGTTCAATAAATGGTGCTTGGAAAATTGGATTTCCACGTGCAGAACCATGAAGCAAGACCCCTACCTTTCACCTTACACAAAAATTCACTCAACATGGATTAAATACTTAAATCTACGACCTGACACCATCAAATTATTAGAGAGCATTGGAGAAACTCTGCAAGATACAGGTACTGGCAAAGACTTCTTGGAAAATACCCCAGAAGCACAGGCAGTCAAAGCCAAAATTAACATTTGGGATTGCATCAAATTGAGAAGTTTCTGTACTTCAAAAGAAACAGTCAGGAAAGTGAAGAGGCAACCAACAGAATGGGAAAAAATATTCGCAAACTATGCAACAGACAAAGGGTTGATAACCAGAATCTACAAAGAAATCAAGAAACGCCACAACATCAAAACAAACAACCCACTTAAGAGATGGGCCAAGGACCTCAATAGACATTTTTCAAAAGAGGAAATCCAAATGGCCAACAGACACATGAAAAAATGTTCAAGATCACTAGCAGTCAGGGAAATGCTAATCAAAACCACAATGAGGTTTCACCTCACCCCAGTTACAATGGCTCACATGCAGAAATCTACCAACAATAGATGCTGGCGAGGATGTGAGGAAAAAGGGACACTAAACCACTGTTGGTGGGAATGCAAACTGGTCAAGCCACTATGGAAGTCAGTCTGGAGATTCCTCAGAAACCTGAATATAACCCTACCATTCAACCCAGCCATACCACTACTTGGAATTTACCCAAAGGAAATGAAATTAGCAAGCAAACAAGCTGTTTGCACATTAATGTTTATTGCAGCTCAATTCACAATAGTTAAGACCTGGAACCAACCCAAATACCCATCAACAGGTTTATTTTTTAAATCATGAAATATTTTGCTGTCTCTTAAAGCTTCAAATCAACTATGATCTTGGAAATCTCATAATACATATTCTCCAAACAAGAAACCTTGTTTCTTGTGACAATAACGGTTATGTATATTACATATATTATTTCATATATATTGTTATATATCAATTATTATGATTTTTTTCTTTTAACAAAACTTTATTCCAAATTTAACTTTCTGCAGACACGCACATCATGAATGTTTTGACATTGGAGCCACTGTGGTTGAGGAGGGCTGGGTGTATCTCCTTCTCACAGAATTGTCCTCTGAGCAACTCCATGTGTTCCCTGGGGCCATGCAGAGCACCCTAGGTTACCCTTCAAGCTCTCATTCCAGTAAGAAATGGTTTGGGTGCTTGATCAGCTACAAGTGAACTCTAAGCCTGGCAGAGAATAGAGAGAATGGGAAACTATTGCTCGTTATCTAAATTTCAGTGAAGATAATTGCATGTTATTCCCTATTCTGTATTTCACTACCCCGTTATAACACATAGTTCTAAGCTTCCCATTTCTCTTTATTTACAGTACTCTGCTCTACTTTCCTCATTGCTTTTATGATGGTCAGAGGGAATTTGCATTGAGACACAACTGAAGCTTCATTTTCTGGCTGGAAACATAAGCATATCAAAACTATGCTAACAACAGGATTTACTGTAGCTTTTAAGTTTCTGTTTTCAGTGTAAACACAGCATATCTGTTTTGTAGAAAAAGTTAGTATTTTTATTTATAGATCCCCCTTTGATTTATAGATCCTTCCTAAAACAATATCAAAGAGGTTCAAGGCTTATTCTCAATGATGCCTAAGGTTTATTTCAGTTGTGAAAGAGAAAAAGCATTAATGGAATTATTTTGCATCATGCAGACTTCTCATGTATTTATTTAAACCTAAGTCTTTTACTATTCAGTGACAATTATGTAACAGTCAATAAGCATCTTATGAGGCAATGAAACTTTCTTCTTCAGCTTCTAAAGTTAAAAAACAAGATTTTATTATCCTAACCTCTCACCCTATTAGAGATGCAGCACAGAAAGAGAAGTTGTGACTTTGAAGAGGTGAAATCTACACTTTTCTTGAGTGTTCTCATTTTTCAATACCCACAGCTTTATCTTTAAGTAGCCATCCCACCTGCTTCTACGTATTTGGCAAAATGTAAATGACATCTATAATTTTGCCAATTAGTTTCTTTTTTTTTTATTTCTTTTCATGTTTTTTAACTTTTATTTAATGAATATAAATTTCCAAAGTACGATTTATGGATTACAATGGCTTCCCCCCCATACCGTCCCTCCCACCCACAACCCTCCCCTTTCCCACTCCCTCTCCCCTTCCATTCACATCAAGATTCATTTTCGATTATCTTAATATATAGAAGATCAGCTTAGTGTACATTAAGTAAGGATTTCAACAGTTGGCTCCCACACAGAAACATAAAGTGAAAAATAATAGATGATTTTTTTAAAATGATGATAAATCAGATCAGACCTATTGTCATGTTTAATCCCAGTGAGAGTCAAGTTCGGAGTTGATAATTTCTTTTTTTTTTTTTTTACAGAGGATCAATTTAGTATGCATTAAGTAAAGATTTCAACAGTTTGCACCCCCATAGAAACACAAAGTGAAATATATTGTTTGAGTACTCGTTATAGTATTAAATCTCAATGCACAGCACATTAAGGACAGAGATCCTACATGAGGAGTAAGTGCACAGTGACTCCTGTTGTTGACTTTACCAATTGACACTCCTGTCTATGGCATCAGTAATCTCCCTATGCTCCAGTCATGAGTTTCCAAGGCTATGGAAGCCCTCTGAGTTCTCCGATTCTTATCTTGTTTAGACAAGGTCATAGTCAAAGTGGAGGTTCTCTCCTCCCTTCAGAGAAAGGTACCTCCTTCTTTGAAGACCTGTTCTTTCCACTGGGATCTCACTCACAGAGATCTTTTTGCCAGAGTGTCTTGGCTTTCCATGCCTGAAATACTCTCATGGGCTTTTCAGCCAGATCCGAATGCCTTTAGGGCTGATTCTGAGGCCAGAGTGCTATTTAGGACATCTGCCATTCTATGAGTCTGCTGAGTATCTCACTTCCCATGTTGGATCACTCTCCCCTTTATTTATTCTATCGGTTAGTGTTAGCAGGTACTAGACTTGTTTATGTGCTCCCTTTGACTCTTAGTCCTTTCATTATGATCAATTGTGAACTGAAATTGATCACTTGGACTAGTGAGATGGCATTGGTACATGCCACCTTGATGGGATTGAATTCGAATCCCCTGGTATGTTTCTAACTCTACCATTTGGGGCAAGTCAGCTTGAGCATGTCCCAAATTATACATCTCTTCCCTCTCTTATTCCCACTCTTATGTTTAACAGGGATCACATTTCAGTTAATTTTCAACACTTAAGAATAACTGTGTATTAATTACAGAATTAAACCAGTCATATTAAGTAGAACAGACAAAAAAACTACTAAGAGGGATAATGTATTAAGTTGTTCATTAACAGTCAGGGCTATGCTGATCAAGTCACCGTTTCCCATAGTGTCCATTTCACTTCAACAGGTTTCCTTTTTGGTGTTCAGTCTGTTGTCACCGATCAGGGAGAACATATGGTATTTGTCCCTTTGGGACTGGCTTATTTCACTCAGCATGATGTGTTCCAGATTCCTCCATTTTGTTGCAAATGACTGGATTTCGTTGTTTCTTACTGTGGTATAGTATTCTAAAGAGTACATATCCCATAATTTCTTTATCCAGTCTACCGTTGATGGGCATTTAGGTTGGTTCCAGGTCTTAGCTATTGTGAATTGGGCTGCAATAAACATTAGGGTGCAGACCGCTTTTTTGTTTGCCAATTTAAATTCCTTTGGGTAAATTCCAAGGAGTGGGATGGCTGGGTCGAATGGTAGGGTTATCTTCAGGTTTCTGAGGAATCTCCAGACTGACTTCCATAGTGGCTTGACCAGTTTGCATTCCCACCAACAGTGGGTTAGTGTCCCTTTTTCCCCACATCCTCGCCAGCATCTGTTGTTGGTAGATTTCTGCATGTGAGCCATTCTAACTGGGGTGGTCATCAGCAATCAGGGAAATGCAAATCAAAACCACAATGAGGTTTCACCTCACCCCGGTTAGAATGGCTCACATGCAGTTTCTTTTTTTTAGATCCTGGTAACATTAACATTTGCTGCTTTTCCAACAGTGGAAGTTTAGTTTAATAATATAATTAGTATAGCTGTATGATTTTTCTACTAAGTAAATTTTAAATAGGCAAGTACTTTCTACCATCTACCATGGAAAGGATGAACAGCATGTTTATTAGGGATTAAAAAGTGCCCAGGACCTTTCAACTAACTTAGAAACCAGTCCATTCCAGTTTCAAATAAAATGGAAATAAGTGTTGTTGCTTCTTACAAGGTTTTTTAAAAAAATTGATAAAATATTGAATGATAATGTATTGCAAGGTTTTTTTTTAATCATGAAATATTTTGCTGTTTCTTAAAGCTTCAAATCAACTATGATCTTGGAAATCTCATAATACATATTCTCCAAGCAAGAAACCTTGTTCCTCGTGACAATAACGGTTATTCTGACCCGTTTGTTAAAGTGTACCTGCTTCCAGGGCGAGGGTGAGTAAAGAAATAATGACTTCTAAGTGTCTCATCTGTGGCTTAAAAAACAGTGATAGTATCTTGCAGTCTCGAACGTCATAGCTTCACCTTAATTAGGCTTATTATCTTTTCCTGAGTTTTCCTCACACATCATCTTTACTTGTCTCTAATGAGTAGATAAGTTGGAATCAAAAATGTTTAAGCAAACCTTAAAGAGTTCTAGACAAGCAGCTCTCATAATAAAACCAGTCTCTGTGAGAGCAAATCTATATTTCTATTCTGGAAACTATTCCTGTGATGACCAGATTGACTGAAACCATATAAGGAATTAACTGTGGCAGATTTAAAGTACTATCTCACATTGCCAAATGTGTTTGAAAAGTGCCTGTTCAGGACCGCGTAGGTTACTCTTTATTTTTAAACGCATGTGTATTAGCTGATATGTTAGGTATATTGTTTAGTGACTCCTTAATATATCTCCATGTATATAGATAGTTTCCAATCAGTGTTTTTTATAAACATCTCTAAAAAAGAATAACACTATTTGAAGTGTTGACTTTGATAAGTAAATGAAAAATACATCTTTGAATATCTTGTGTGTTACATAAATTTTTGATATAAAGTAAGTGCTTTTGTGGAGTTTTTTTTGTTTACTCTTTTTTTTTTTTTTTTTTTTTGGACGGGCAGAGTGGACAGTGAGAGAGCGAGAGAGACAGAGAGAAAGGTCTTCCTTTTTGCCCTTGGTTCACCCTCCAATGGCCGCCACAGCCGGCGCACTGCGCCGATCTGAAGGCAGGAGCCAGGTGCTTATCCTGGTCTCCCATGGGGTGCAGGGCCCAAGCACTTGGGCTGTCCTCCACTGCACACCCAGGGCACAGCAGAGAGCTGGCCTGGAAGAGGGGCAACTGGGACAGAATCCAGAGCCCCGACCAGGACTAGAACCCAGAGTGCTGGTGCCGCAAAGCGGAGGATTAGCCTAGTGAGCTGCGGCGCCAGCCCTTTTTGTTTACTCTTGTGTTTTGACATCTGAATGTTACTTTTTACTTGGGAATTTCCCCGTTATGGTTCAGAAGTAGAAGAATACTCCTGTGGTGATCCACCATGCACCCATCACTTGGTCTCAACAGCTACCACTAACTAGCCAACCATGTTCCATTATTGCCCCAGATTGTGTAACATTTTTCAGCTAATATTTCAGTATATGTTTCTAAAAGATAAGGAGTTATTTTAAGATAACCATAATACCATATTTGGTCATAATAATTTTTTAATTTTCAATTAGTTTTTCAAATCCCCAATTGCCTCATAATATTTTCCTGGTTGATTTTATGACCTAATTGATATTTATAGAACATTCTACCAATCAATAGCAAATTGCATATTTTTTTCAAATACGCATTGAGCTTTCACCAAAGTAAACTGTGCTTTAGGCTATAAAACAAATCTTTACAAATTTAACAGCATTGAAATCATACAAAATATGTTCTCCAACTTTGGCTGGTTTGTTTGAATAGGATCCAAATTAGAGTCACATACAACCCTTGAATTTGCTGCTTACTAATTACATCACCACAGGCAGATCACCAATTTCTTTGAGATTCAGTTTCCTTGCCACCATTGAGAGTGCCAAGGAGGCAGAACCATAATTTTTAGTTTGTTAAAGGGACGAAGTTAGATAATACTCAGCAAATAATCTGTTAATTATGAGGTGCTATGTCCAATAGCAATAGATAGCCTTTAATCTCCTCCTTTTCAGTAATTCCATTTAGAAACATAGACTTGTGGGTATGGTTAATCCTGTTTTAATTTATTGCACATTTTAGTAATCCTCAATAATTCTACATATAGGTTAACTAGCTGCACAGCCCTACGAAGGGAGAGTTTTTCTTTTATGTTAGTTAATTGAAATTTTCACACAGTTGAGACTCTAGTTTGACAGTGTCTCTGAAAGTAAATATTAGTAAATATAACGAAAACAACAACAAACCAATGACTTCATATTGATTTTGATTTGCATCCATAGGTCTTCAGTATTATTTAATATCAAGAGACAAGGGGAAGTCACTACTAAGGGTTTGTCTCTAGATGGTAGTTGCTAATGAATGAAGAAATAGAAAGCATATTATTTACTTTGTCTTCTCCAATAATATCCTGGGGTATCCTTTTTTTCTCTATGGGAGTACCTCTTTTGTTTATTATAGGATGTGTTTCAGTTAAAATACTGCAGACTTGAATAACCATAAAGCACAGGTGGGTGACATGGATCTGTCACTCCTTTCAGGGAATGGTGAAAGGGAGAGTGCTCCACCTAGAGCTATCCCCAAAATTCGTCATCTCTGGTTTGGTGGCATGGCTCAAAGGCAGCCAAAATGCTACTCCTGTTCAGTGCCTCTCTCTTCACTAAGTTACCCCTGCAGTGCTCAAGGCCTTGGGGTTTATTATACATGTGAGGCATTATTTTCACTGTAGTTCTAAGATTATCTTGGACCTCATGTCATTTATATGTTATAGTATAGCTCCTCTAATTATTCTCAGATTTTCTTCCTTGCTTCTGTTCCTAACTTTTTTCTTCCTGTCTTCCCTACTGCCTGCTTTATCCTTCACTCTCGCTCTTGGAATCAATGCAGTCAAGTCATGGTTGTCCAGAATGCAAGGTAGAGTTGGTTCTCTTTCGGTTTCACAATGTCTTTAATGTCTAGAGTTACACTTTTTGCATGTTTATGTTCCTTTACCTGCACTTCTTCAACTGTAACTTATTGTTCCTACGTTTTTGGTATCTTGAATTTCAGCTACAAAAAATTGTTCTGACCGTATTTTGAATAGCTTTATTGGGTGTGTACCATAGGAGACAGAAAAGTAGAGAATATTAAGAGCACAGAAAAACAAATAAGGAAATTCTACCATGAAATTAGGTATAACTAAAGTTTTCATTTATAATCTTTCCACTAAAATTCATTTAGCTTCTCATGTGATAATCATGGCTTAATTCTTCTGCATCTTCTTTTACAAATAAAAACAGCTAAAGTCACTTTTCTAAAGGAATGAACTAATATTCTGGATTTCCAGTACTAGGTGTGTATCTCATCTTAAAAACAATAGCAGGTCTGCTCTTTTTTCCCCTCACTTGAACATGCTGGTGAAGCAATCCCCTGCCTTTATGCCTTCTGCAACACACTATTATTGCTATGCCATACAGGATGCAGTAACTTACTTACTGTAGTGTATTGGCAATGACATAATAGCATCCTTTTTTATTTCCAAAAGTAGAAAGCTGTTTTCTGAACTACAAGCTTTCAGAACTACAAGTGTGCTGCATCACCATCACATTGCCATCTAAGGCCACCTCCTACTACGAACTCAAAAGCATTCTTTTGCACAACTTGTATTATTCTACCAATTAAATACATCATGCAGTCGGGAAAGCAAATTGTATGCCAGATGTTGCAATAGGGTGATAAGGATTTTAACCCCACCTCAATTATATTAATGGCACGGAATTTGTTTCTGTGATGTGGCATTAAAATTTGACATCAATGTTAGTACGGACAAGGTGTGGCCTAAAAGATTATTTCTAATATTTAAAGGCAAAAATATTTAAATATTTCCAATAGAACTAGTCACTACAGAATTTATACTGCCCAGAAATTTTCTATTTCCTTTCAGCCACAATAATTATGGCAAACAGTGAAATTGGCACTGTACTGATTTCCTCATTGTGGCGAGTTCTAGCACCACAGGGCATAATCTAGGTCTACTGAGCTGCTATGTGAAATTAGTTCTATTTCAAAGAAAAAGCGTCATTTTTAGGACAGACCTTATCAATCACATTATTCAGAATCTTCCTGTCTTTTATCTAGAGAAACTGGGGGAAAATTATCGGAATGATGGTGATTATATTTAACTTAGGAGCAGCATGTTTTGTAATTGTAAGTAATGGTTGAAAGAACCTGGGATTACTATTCAGATCTGGAAGTCATTTTCTTGTCATATCTTTCATCAATCTCTGAGAACTGTCAGTTTGAGAGGGACCTACAGTGATAAGGTACTGACACTGTAAGTTAGACTATCGAAGCTAGTGAGTGAGCTCCTTAAGAACTTGGGTTCTTTTTAACTCAGCATTGTCACTTTATGGGAGATTTCTCTGAAAGTATTTCCCGTTCAATTCACTAAGAATAATAATAGCTCCCTCCCCAGGCTTATTGTGAAATATGTGGATAAATACATCAGTAGTGATAAGAATAATGGCAGACATTTAAGGGTTCATTAATTGGCAATTGGTATTATTATTGCTGATAATATTTATAATACTTTTCATTTAATTCATGGCTAGCTATCCCTGCACAAAAACAAAACAAAACAAACAACAACAACAAAACAGATACAGAATACTCAAATTACTGAAGTGTACCGAGTTATTTAACAGTATCATATGCAAAATCAAGCAACTTTTCTTTAAAAGCAAAATGGAATACAACCCACATTCTTAAATTTTTTTAAAAAAATCCTGTTTAAAAAGAACCAAAAATCCCCAAATTACCCTGTTGCAGTTTTCTTTTTTAATCTTTTCTTTGCTCTTCCCATCCTTTGATCTGTATACAGGAAAACTCCAAAAGACCCCAGGTCAGGCAGGAGGAGGTGAGAGACTAACAAGGAAGAGCCTGAATAGCCCATGAACTCCACAGTTGTCCCTGGATAATTAAGAACTGCAAAGGAGCTTGGGAATCTGGAGGGTCTTTTTCTGGTTTTCTCTCATCACACTTTTGGGCAAAGTGCAAATTTTTTCCTCCTTAATGTGATTTAGCTATGGTTTTAACTTTTTTATTTTTTGTAACTTGTGGTATGTATCCTTAGAAGCCCAATTCTCACTAAATGCTCTCTAATGTCCTTGTTAGCATATCAAATTACTTCCTCCAGGACCAATGTGAAGCAGGTACAGGTGTGTGGGTGTACACCTGATGGCCCAAATATATTTTATTTCAGGATTTTAAAGGCAAACAGAGAAGGACAAGCCCATTTTAAGAATCCACTCAAAAACATTTTTATTAAGCATGATAGGTCCTGGGATTAGAGTTGAGGACACAGTCATGGTCTTCCTCTCAGGGAACACAGAAAGTAGACTGGCATGGAATAAATACAGCATTGCACAGAAAAATAGAGCTTACAAACTGAATACGCTGCACAATTCTTTCTATATGAAAGAGAGAACAATGTCAAAGGACTAATTTGGAAAAACAAATATTCATGTATACTCAGATATATGAGGGGCCATAAAAACACTCATGGAAAATACAGTTATGAAAAACTATACATAGATTTCAAAATTCTGGTATCAAAGTTAATTTACCTTTTAATTCTGTTTTGTCACTAAATTTTTGAAGTCCCCTTGTATTTATAGTAAGTCCTGTAAGGAAACTCAAATGAAAGAAACGAATGCCTTCAATATTTTAGCTATTTAATAGTCTGTGAAAGTAAATACAAAGAAATAATCATATTCTTATTCCTCAGTTTTTTCTTTTCACTTTAAAAAGAAAATCATGAGGGTTGTGTTTTTTATTTTTGCTGATTTAGAATAGAAAAAAATGAATTTCAAATATTTTCTCTAACTGCGTTAAAAGCATATCCATCTGTGACAGAATGGCCAATATAAATACCTTTAATGAAATATAAAGTGATATTTTGTTTCATGTAAATTCCACCCTTTTATCTGTATAAACATAAGCTCCAAATGACCTAATGTCAGGCAGGATGAGGTGAGAGACTGACAAGGAAGAGTAATGAGTAGATCAGAGTAATGGATGTATCCATCACTTTGAACTTTTACCATGTTTTTACCGTGACTGCATTTTTTTTTTTTTTTTTTGGACAGGCAGAATTAGACAGTGAGAGAGAGAGAGACAGAGAAAGGTCTTTCTTCCGTTGGTTCACCCCCCAAATGGCCTCTGTGGCCAGTGCGCTGCGCCAATCCAAAGCCAGGAGCCTGGCGCTTCTTTCTGGTCTCCCATGCGGGTGCAGGGCCCAAGCACTTGGGCCATCCTCCACTGCACTCCCGGGCCACAGCAGAGAGCTGGCCTGGAAGAGGAGCAACTGGGACATAACCAGCACCCCAACCGGGACTAGCACTCGGGGTGCCGGTGCCGCAGGCAGGGGATTAGCCAAGTGAGCTGCGGCGCCGGCCCACAGTGACTACATTTAAAATCCTCTGTTCTAACTAGGTGAGATATTTGATAGGCACCATGACTTATCTAGATGAAGTCTTTTATTTTCTCCTATATTATTAGATATGATGTGATTATCCTAAAGTAAGATCATTAACACAGTCTTCCTAATGAGGGAATATACTGTAGTGTGTTTGCCACACAAAGAAGGAAGGGGAGGATGAACTCTACTTTTTCCTTAGACTGTGTGTTTGCATCTATTCAGGAATCCCCTCGATAACTTGGCCACCTTCATTTTGTAGATCCACAGATTAGAGCAAAGCTATATGGGAACTGTGCCATGTGTCAAGTGACAGCACAGCCCACTGTAATAACACCAGATGATCAGAATTTTAGTTATAAAACACATGTTATTGAAGGAATGACTTTGTGGGCAGCTCTGGTGTGTGAGGAAATCCAAGTACAGAAAATGACAGCAAAGAATTTCATTGGTGTTTGTGCACACTAGTCAGAATTGGTGGAGAAGAGCTCCAGGGCAAGGTGTAATTTTCTTCCATTCATCCTAAACGCAGTGGATGCCTTGGGTCTGGAGAAAATTGGAGAATCAAACTCATTAATAAGATTAACATACCCTATTAAGATGACCATTTTGATCTTTAACCAATTTAGGTTTTTTTCTGAATGGATTTGGTCAAAAGGAAACACTTATAATAGCTATCCCTAATTGTTCTACAGCAGTCAAGATATATACCATTCTGAATTTCCCTGGGTAAATTTTAAAAATGGCCTACTTTTTAAAAAAATGTTTGTGTGTACATATAAATTATATATATTATAAAAAGACACATAACTAGGGGCCAACATTGTGGCATAATGTGTTAAACTGTATTGACAGTGCTCTTATCCCACATGGATGCTGGTTTGTGTCCCGGCTGCTCCCTGCTAATACACCTGGGAAAGCAGCAGAGTATGACCCAAGTCCTTGGGACCCTGCACCAATGTAGGAGACTTGGAAGAGGCTCCTGGCTCCTGGCTCCTGGCTCCTGGCTCCTGGGCGTGAACCCAGTAGATGGAAGATTTTTCCCCTTTTCTTTGTCTCCCCACCCCCTCCATAACTCTGCCTTTCAAGTAAATAAAATAAATCCTTAACAAACTATATATATATATATATACACAAATATATATATATATGTGGAAAACTAAGTTCAAGTGCAAAACTTTAGATTATAAAGAAGACAAACTAGACACCCCAGCTGATGCAGCCTGCAAGTAAGAAAACAGTTACGTTTTATAATGGTCATTATCAGTTGAGTTTCTATAACATGTGTAACAGGAAAGAGTCAGATTCCCTATGTTTTATCAGTTAATATTTGTTCTGCTGAGCTTCAGTTTTTCTTACTTATAAAGTAGAATAACAAATTATGCCTGTTTCATTGTATTGCTTTGAGGATTAGTGGGTGAACACATGAAAAACATTTATAACTTTAACATTATAACTTCTTATGATATTAATGTAGATCATATATACACATATATAGTATTACTTCTCATTATTTTGATTTTATATTATGGTACATAATCCATCTACAAATTTTTTGATGAACAGAGATTTATCTAGGGGCTGGCGCCGTGGCTCACTTGGTTAATTCTCCACCTGCGGTGCCGGCATCCCATATGGGCAATGGATTCTAGTCCCGGTTGCTCTTCTTCCAGTCCAGCTCTCTGTTGTGGCCTGGGAAGGCAGTGGAGGATGGCCCAAGTGCTTGGGCCCCTGCCCTCTCATGGGAGACTGGGAGGAAGCTCCTGACTCCTGGCTTCGGATCAGCATAGCTCTGGCCATAGCGGTCATTTAGGGGGTGAACCAATGGAAGGAAGACCTTTCTCTCTGTCTTGCTCTCTCTCACTGTCTCACTCTATTTGTCAAATAAATTAAAAAAAAATTTTAAAAAAGAGAGAGATTTATCTAGTTTGATAATGCAGGTCTACTTAATTCATTTCAACTGCTGCTTGTTATTCCATGGAATGAATATATTGTAATGTATTCAGTCTAAATGAAAGTTTATGAACATCTTTCATATACACACATTGGGGAATTTCTCTAGGAATAAGTAGAAGTAGTATAGTCCGGGTGTTTAAGTATATAAACTTCAGCTTCACTAGAGATTTACTCATTTGTCTAAAATTTTTATGTACAAACTTATACCTTCTGCCCATAACTTTGGAAGTTCTTGTTACTTTCAAGTGTTGAGAATGCCTGGCCCACAAAATCATTTGTTCTGGCCTTGTCAAGGTAACCTCAAGCAAAACTCAAAATTCAATAAATCTATAGCGGGCTAATTTTAAGTCAATCATTTTGTATGGCCCACATACAATACAATATCTAATAGCTTTTGGCAGAAAAAAAATCATTATCCATACATTTCTTCAATATTGCAGGTTATCATGAAAGACAAAGTTATCAAATTCTTTTCTTTTTACATGCAAATGCATTGCTCAGAAGTGAGCAGATGTGCTGCTTTATTACTTAAATTGGGTGCAGCTTATAGTCGCTAATATGTCCGCTTTCATGAGACCTAAGGAGTGTGGTTCTCAGTCTTGGCCTCACACCAGACTAACCTGGGAGCTCTCTAAAGTCCTACTGCCCATACTGATTAAATCAAACTCTCTTAGTGGGTGCAGGAGGGAGTGGATGAAGTGTGGGCATAAAGTGCTGACAGCCTTCCTTTCCTGCCCCCAGAACTCAGATCAATGGCATTATGCAGTCAATGCTGGAATTTACTGCTGATAAGAGAATATAATCAGAGGAAAGAAGGAAAATACTTGGCTGTAGGGGTCTCTAAAAGTGAGTGGTGAACTGGAGTTTTATTCTCAATAGCTTTATCCAAAATGCATAGGTGAATTAGTGGCTGGGCAGTAAAATAGGGCATTCCAGGATATGACTGCTTGAGACCAAGAATGTAGCAAGAGCTACTCTGGTTGTAGCTTGGAATAGAATTGCAGCTTGCAAGTATCAGGGCCCAATTCCTTTTGGGCAAGGCCACTTATGAATGCAGACACAGGTCAGGACCCTCATTTTCAGGATTCTGGAGCTCAGAGATGAAGTATTGTCCAGGACCTGAGACATAAGCCTAGGCATAAAATTCAGAGAATGGCAATGAAAGTTAGAGAAAGGCTTTGCCTCTGTTGGCACAATTTGCTAATAGCAGATAACAGGAGTCCAATTCCAGCCTGGACAGCTGGTCGATGCCTGCTATGGATGTTCTGCCAAACTTCATTAGGCAATGTTTTAGAAATAAGTTGTTTTTAAACATGTAGGATATAGCTTCTAGCTGTTGTATAGAAGGAATGAAAAAGTCAGGGATTAGTTCAGATGCTCTAAGCTATAATTCATGAGGAAAAATTTTGATTTGGTTTATCAATTATAACATAAGCTATTGGCATGAGCCAAGAATTTAGGTTTAATTAAAACTGCTTTATAGCTGCATTAAATATCATACTTCACTAAGAGTGTCAGAATACACCTTAAATATGAGGTAGTGGATGTTTATGGGGTTTCAGCTATAGCAACAGCCATCCTTCAGCCTTTCCTCAGTCAGGACAATCATTACTAATTTTTACAGAAAATGTGAGCTGAAAGTCCACCTAGTTTTTCTGACAGTATTAGATGCATGACTGTTGGTCGGCGCCACGGCTCAATAGGCTAATCCTCTGCCTGTGGCGCCGGCACACCTGGTTCTAGTCCCGGTTGGGGTGCCAGTTCTGTCCCAATTGCTCCTCTTCCAGGCCAGCTCTCTGCTGTGACCCGGGAGTGCAGTGGAGGATGGCCCAAGTGCTTGGGCCCTGCACCCCATGAGAGACCAGGAGGAAGCACCTGGCTCCTGGCTTTGGATTGGCGCAGTGCACTGGCCACAGCGGCCATTTGGGGGGGTGAACCAATGGAAGGAAGACCTATCTCTGTCTGTCTCTCTCACTGTCTAACTCTGCCTGTCAAAAAAAAAATAATAATAAAAAAGATGTGTAAGTGTTGGAAAGTCAAATATTAACTTCTTATTGGTCAAGAACACATTATTGATGTTATCATAGGGTTCCTGTAAATAGCTCCTGCATTCAGGAAAAAAGTAAGATTTCTCAAATTATAAGATAGAATACACCGGCATTTCTTTGGGGGAAAATCTCATTAGGGCAAATCTCACTAAAGGTGTCAACATATTTTTAAATTGTCATTGTGCATTCAACTTAGAAGAAGCCATAAGACACAAGGATGATGAGATGACTGTTTAGTGATGTGAACCCAGATATGTTCTTTAACAATCTGTAAGTCCTTTGGCTTGACCATGAAGTCAACAGTCAAGTTGAATAATCAAGATAACTCTGTTTTCTTCCAATTCAGTGCTGAGTACAAGAGAAGGACTAAATATGTTCAGAAAAGTCTTAACCCTGAGTGGAATCAGACAGTAATTTATAAAAGCATTTCCCTGGAACAGGTATGTGGTGATTATTTTCTAGGCAATACTTGCAACTAATAGAAGTATGGTGATGAAATTATTGAAGTATTGGTATCCAAATCAATTTTGCCAAACAAACAAAATGAACTGGATAAAACACTTGTCAGAAATATAGCCAGGGTAGGGTGTTCAATACAATGGTTAAAGACCAGTTGGGGGACCTGTGTTCTTTATAAATGATTAATATCCACACCTGGCTCTGTACCTGACTCCAGCTTCCTGCTAATGCACACCTGACCAGGGATACAGCAGTGATGTCTCAAGCAATTGGGAGTCTGCCACACAAGTGGGGAGGCTTGGATTGAGTTCTTAGCTCCCTGCTTGATGCTGGCCCAGCCCTGATCATTACAGGCATTTGGGGAGTAAACCTGTGGATGGAAGAACTCTATCACACTGCCTTACAAATATGTATTTTTAAAAAATTCAAATCAAAGCCTAAGCATCTGGCAATATTTGGCTCAACCTTACAGAGGAAGGCATGTTGACTTGTATGAAAGATTATCACCACCAGTAAGTGACTCAATGTAAAATTACATCACTATGCTTTAGAAAATATGCATTTCATAACCCTTCATGAATACCAGAAAAGAGTTGATAGTTGATAAGGTTGAATTCTTAGAGAATACAAATCAAACAGCAAAGAGAAGGTATGCAGATCAAAGTAAGGTTTTTAATTTGTCCTCTGAAAATATTAATTTGCTTATGAAATTGAAGCTGGAAATAAATTATAATCTGTCCTTTATTTAAATCCACTCACAGAAATAATCCTACTATTTTTTAAATGACTGAAGCAAAAAGCCAGACTCCAAATACTCTATTGCAATGACATTTTTGCAATGCATAAATGTCTTTAAAGAATATTTCTAGATCCTTCTATTTTTAAAAATGAGGGCTAGAAGAAGAGGACAACAGGAAATAAGTAGCATTATCATTTTGTTCACCAAGTCTTGAGCCTCCTAATGCTCACACACTAGACTGGACTGTGAAATAATTACTGAAATTTGTAGTTAGTATAAATCCACATATTTTTACATTATTGGAAAGCATTGACAGAAGTAAAAATAAATCAGTCAATTTTATGAGTATAGCAAAATTCATGATGGAAAAATGAGGTTAATGACATTTTTATTTGAACTGTAGCTCAAGAAGAAAACACTGGAGGTGACAGTTTGGGATTATGATAGATTTTCTTCCAATGACTTCCTTGGGGAGGTAAGCCTCTGATTTCTTTTTCCCCATCTGCTGCCACTGCAAACCATCATTTGCCTGAAGCACAGACCAAAGCAGATTTTCTTCAGTTTGTAAAACAGCCTTTCCTGAGTAAAATCCTTTGGGAGGTAGAGTTTATTTCTTGATTTACTCTTTGAATAGATAAACAGCTTCTTCAGAAATAGTTTTCACTCTACCACTTGGGTATTTTATAGTGACCTTGCAATTATAAGTATTAATTGGCTCAATAGGAATATATATATTCATATATATATATTCTTATATATATATATATAAAATCACACTGAGAGTGCAAATAAGATTTGCATGATCAAGTTTGTTATATCATAAAATTAGGTGGGTTTTCAAAATGAATTTTCAGGACCTTTAATTACTATTCCTCATGGTGTGTTCGAGTGACTTAGTGTGACATTTTAAGTTGTTTACATTTATATTATTTATAATTAAATATACTGAGAAGAATGTTCCAAATATTTTAAGAAGCAAAACTCAAAACAAACGAAATAATAAGCTGTTATATATAAACTTGAAAGAAATCAAAATAACTTAGTCATGAAATCCAATAATCAGTTTGTGATTTTTTCAGCTATTATGTTCCAAAAATATGTATTTTATAAAGTACTTTTTTTCTAAAGTAGAAGTTATGAACAGGTATAAAAAATAAATTTTCACTAGGAAATCCAAGACCCTACAAAATAGGATATTCTTTTTGTGGGGAGCAACCCGGACTAGACTAAGTTACTGGAATTAAGACTTATTCTATGCATCTGCTCTCCCACAATATGGCGCTGAGAAGGGAGAAGCAGCTTCTACACAGCTGCCTCCAGTTCAGCCAATAAACTGTAGGACTTGCTCCTGATTGGAGGAGAGCAGCGTACTCGGCGTGTGGGCAGCCGAGTTGGGATTGGCGGAGGAGGACTATAAAGGAGGAGAGAGACGGCATGCACCAGGAACATCTAAGAGGAACATCTAAGGGGAACACCTGTGCAGCCCCCGAGAGAGCCGGCCGGCGGTGTGCCGCTCCCCCGCGGAAGTGGGGAATGTGGCAGGGGGAACTGCCCTTCCACGGAGGTGGAAGGGACGGTAGCCAACCCGGGAAGAACCAGCAGCAAACCCGGGGAGGGCCGAGCAGACGAAAGAACAACGCAGGGTCCTGTGTCGTTCCTCCACGAAGAGGGGGAGCGACACTTTTGTTAGAGATGATATAATACATCATTTCATCTAAGTGATAATGAGGCCTTCTTCGGTTCTTAAGATTATTTATCTTCCTTTCCTGCCAAAATTAGACCATTTGACCCTCACCTTCGGGCCTATCCTGGCCCAACCGCCTGGACTAATGTGGATGGTAGGGCTACTCTAGGAAGGAGTGCTGTGTCTGACCTACTGTGTCATTTCGTATAACTGATTTAGTGGTTAGTCTAATGTTTACATCAACCTAGAACGTATATCCATTATGCTGGTTTTATTTCTTAAATCTCATCAAATCTAACATGTCAGCAACTGCAAAAATGCACTGTTCTTATGTAACACTAAGAAAGAGAAATATGCTAACAGTGAAGGAATGACACAGTGCTTTCTCATCATCAATTGTTAGTCATCTCCTAGTTTCAGATGTTAAATACAGTGTGTTTTAAAATAGAAGAAATAAATTAGTGACTGCAAATTACCTATTTGCTTTCCTTTTGTCCCTGTTGTGATTAAAATCAAGTATTTTCAGAGTTTTAGCTAATGCAGAACTAGAATGAATTCATATAGCAAAATAAAAAGTTTTCTCTCATGTAAAGATTGACATGCAACTTTCCCTTTTTATAGATCTCCAAATTATTTGTTAATAGTCAAAAATGTCATTTGGTTTCTATTTTAAAATTCACTTTTGGTGAGTGAAGACAAACATCGTTTCCTTTGATTATTGTTTATAGCTCTTCTCTATTTTCCTGCTGGAAATTTGTCTTTTTACCTTTCCTTTGTTGTACTCTTTATTGAGTGGAGCCAAAAAGCCTGTGACTATCCAGTAAATTAAAAATATGTTATCAAAATAAGTAAATAATTTTTAAAAAATCTCATGTTTCAATTAAACATTTGCTAAACATCTAATATGCGCAAGACATTGTCACCAATATCATGGGTGAAGAAAAATGAGGAAGACAGCAACATTGGTCCTTAAAGGTAGTACTGTATTCTTTGGTGTATATCCTTGAATAGATTTTAGATCATGGGAAAATGTAATGAATGAATTCCAGCTTGATCCCTGAATTTAATTGATCTGTTGCTTTTTTTTTTTCAGGTACTGATTGACTTATCTAGCGCATCTCACCTTGATAACACTCCCAGGTGGTATTCTCTCAAAGAACAAACAGAAAGCATTGATCATGGCAAGTCTCACTCCAGTCAGAGCAGCCAGCAGTCCCCAAAGCCATCTGTCATCAAGAGCAGAAGCCATGGTATCTTCCCTGACCCATCCAAGGGTAGGAAAATTTCAAGCTTAAAACATATTTTGTCCATTTATTCATTCAGCATCATCTTCTGTGTGTATATTTAATATAAACATTGAAAGACCAGCCTGTAGAATGGAGGAGGTTGGGCTACATGAGCTCCTTTGGTATTTTCTATCTCTTAAAATCCATGATTACATGATTTTAGAAAATTCATTTGTGTTTTTCATAAAGAAAATATACACATTCCCCACTAGTTTATTATTGATTAGACATAATCATCATTACCATTTAGGTATAGTACTTCTAATTATTTGACTCTCCAGTTTTTCATAACTATAATCTTACTCCAGTAAGTATAATTTTGCATCCTGCTTTTTACTTACATCAAGACTATTTTCTCATGTCATCAAAATAATTGATATGCTGAAATTTACTTGTTTTCTAAATGTTGGGCTCACACTAACTTTTTTGTTATCTTTCCTAGATATTGGAGTCAAGTTAACTTTTTAGGCATTATTATTTTTTAAATAGCAATTCCAGACATTTGATTGGCAATGTGAACTTCATTCCCATTTGAATGAACTTTTCCTTTGGGAAGTTTATTACCTGCTATCCTACAAGCAACATTAATCCACATCATAAACCATTACTGCTTACATGGGATAACCATGTGGTATCTTATCTACCAATGGTGAAATATGCATGAGTATTAAAAATAACTTTCATATTGGACTAGAGTAGTCCTTCCTTGCCTTCTCTTCTCAGAAAATGCATCAAAATGAAAAGTGTTTTCTTGTATGTGAGAAATACTAGTGTTTTAGGAGATGGGAAATTTTTTTAACTTTTATTTAATAAATATAAATTTCCAAAGTACAACTTTTGGATTATAGTGGCTTTTCCCCTCCATAACCTCCCTCCCACCTGCAACCATCCCATCTCCCACTCCCTCTCCCATCCCATTCACATCAATATTCATTTTCAATTATCTTTATATTCAGAAGATCTATTTAGTATATACTAAGTAAAGATTTCAACAGTTTGCACCCACACAGAAACACAAAGTATAAAGTACTGTTTGAATACTAATTATACCGTTGAGATCATGTCCAGTACACCATAGAATTGATATGGAACACCACTGGCTACCAAATGTGCTATAGATTATTTATATATCACACTGTTTAATGCTTTTAATTTATTTATTTGAGAGGCAAATAGAGAGAAGCAGGCACAGAGAGAGGGGGAGAGGGGAGAGACAGTGTGTGGGTGCTCCCATTGACTGGTTCACTCACCAGTGCGCACCATGACGAGGTCAGGGCAAAGCCAAAGCCGAGAGCCAGGAATTCAATCGAGGTCTCCCACATGGGTGGCAGGAATCCAGTCACGTTGAGTAATCACCTTTGCCTCTTGGGATCCTCACTGGCAGGAAGCTGGAGTCAGAAGCAGGGGCCAGGAATCAAAGCTTGCCACTCCAGTATAAGATATGGATAACTTAACCACTGGGCCACAGACCAGCCCCTATTTACGAATGAGTACTGTAGATCAGTTATAGATTCTATTTAGCCACTTGACTCTACGCTGCTTAACACACCGTGAGATCTGCAGTTTAAGACCTCCCTCTCTGTGACTACCTTAACAAACAGGTGACCTGCACATTCTCTAAAGTTGCTTAAAACAGTGATACTACAATCTCCATGTTTAATGTGCCACAGTGACTCCCAGCTCTTCATCCCAGAATTTACTATGTTTCTGTTAAAAAAAAAAAAAAAACAACAAACAAAAAAAACCTTTTATAGCAATTTAAGCCCATGGTGTCTTTGTGACCTCCACTAGAATTAGCAAAGGTACTTGATGAAACTAGAAGGTAAGATATTCATTTAATTAAGGCTAGTTAGAAAATACCCCTCCTTTGCAAATATATGGCTTGTCAAGATTATCATCCCTTTGCGTTTTCCCCAACCATCATTCCCAAATATTTAATCACATTCCTGTATGCGGAGTAGTTGCATTAATGTACCATAAAGACAGAGTATCCCTGTCTATTTTATATAGTTTCAAATTATGTGAAGATGAAGCTTCACCTGAGGAAGGCGGGAGCAACTGTAACTCATGTTCTACCCTTTTGTAACCAGACATGCAGGTTCCCACTATTGAGAAATCCCACAGTAGTCCTGGTAGCTCAAAGTCCTCATCTGAAGGCCATCTCCGCTCTCATGGACCATCCCGCAGTCAAAGCAAAACCAGCGTCACTCAGACCCACCTGGAAGATGCAGGGGCTGCCATAGCCGCTGCCGAAGCCGCCGTGCAACAACTCCGCATTCAACCAAGTAAAAGACGCAAATAAATTCCTCAGCATGGCAGCTTAATGTTCATCTGTTGCCTTTCTTTCCTGCTGTCCTTTCCTGTTTGCTTTCTGTTTTATTTATTTATTTTATTTTGTGTATCCCTTGCTCACTCTGTTCTCTGTCCCTTTGTCTAAGAACAGTATCAATACATAAATATGCTCTTTCTCATTTAATTTTTTTAAATTTACATAGACTGCAATAAAACTGGCTGTTTCTCCTTTATTTCCACCATCCTTCCAACCTGGCTCATATTATTTGATAGCTGTGTCTGTGATGTTTGCAGGCAAAGCAGTGTTGTGCGTCCTCTTTGTGTGCGCTTCAATATCTTTTAGGATTACAGAAATTATAAGCACAAATGGCTGCCAATGTTCCACTCATTGCACCGAAAACACACACACACACACACACACACGTATTTAGAGCACAGTAGCAATGATATTCTTGTACTTAGACACACTCAAAAATTTTTAGGCAGAACAGTAATGTAACCATCAGTGAAGTTCTAGGACAGGCTTTTCAAGCCCTGGTTAAAATTATTGGTAAATTATGCATGTGAGATGTTTTAGCTTTCCATGTGCAAAACATCCTGGTCTTCTGAAAATTCTGTGAAGAAAATTGTATGTCTTATATTCTCAAGAGATCCATAATACTAATATATGTATAAGCATATGGGATGAGGCACTGTCACTGCGTTAAGGAGCACAACTGGGTCCATTCAATTGGATCATACCTTGTATATCACAAAAAGATTGTGGGTAATTTCTCCTCTACCCATTGGAAATCAAGATGTGCTATATCTGATAGCTGTGAGTCAAAGGAAAACAGTTCACCCCCTTAACTGCTGTGTTTCCATTTCATTTATGAAAATTTAGTCAATTGATATGATTATGTGCAAGCTTAATATGTGCAGCTATTTCCAAAGTATAGGTGTGCTGTTAAATTGTAACCAGGAAACGGAGATATATTGTTGCTCTCCACATCTCCCGAGTTGTCATTTCCAAAGAAACAGCCAGTTTTAACCCCCTTTAGTGCTATGCATGTGATGTCATTTTGGCATTTGAGAACACAACTTATTTTAATAGAGCCAAAGAACACTTCTGTTTGCATGAATAACATTTAAGCTGGTTCCATCTGAGGATACATACTCTGGGTTTCCATTTCACCCACACTGCCACAGCAGCACATAAAAGCGGTCAGTCTAATCATGCCAGGAAGCAGCACAGGCACAGCATAGCAGGAGTCCTCCCCATTCAAAGAACTCAGTCTGATAATCTGCCTCCACCAGCCAATGGCAACCAAGACCAAAGCCAGCTAGCCCTCAGGAAGGTGATGTCTGATGGACCAGTCAAGCCAGAAGGAGGTGAGCAGAAAGGCCCTGTTCAAAGCACACAGCAAGAACATCCCCCAAATTTAAAGCTCTCATCTTTTAATTTTTAGAAATTGTCTGATAAAATGTGTTTATCCACTTTTTAATGTGCTTTTGTGGGCATGGCATTTTAGGACTTCATCATCACCGTGTAAGTTCCAAGATAAATCCGTATCTATTGACTACAGTGATTTGTATTTTTCTATGCACTGGGCATCTTTTGACTTTTGTTGGGAAGTAGATTAACAGTATTCATATTGCAGACTGGAATGCATGCTACTAACCTAATTTGTTCAAGCATGACTATAAATATGTTGCATTGTGTTAAAAGTTTAAATTGCTTACGATTCAAGTTAGTGTGCCAGTTGGAATGTAGATCAGTCTGTGTTGCATATTATTTCACATGTAACTTTTTAAAAATTCAGTGGATTTTGGAAATTCTTAGTGGAAAGTAAAGGAAAAATTGTTAATGCACTCATTCACCTTTACATGGTGAAGGTTCTCTTTGATCCTACAAGCAGACATTTTCCACTCATGTTTCCATAGTTGTTAAGTGTATCGGATGTGTTGGGCATGTGAATATCCAAGTGCCTGTGTAATAAATAAAGTATCTTTATTTCATTCATAAACTACTGGGTTCTGAGCCATTGTTATATGATGCAGTTCAAAACGAATGTGTCAGTTTTTCTCATTTGGTGCCTTACTAGGGAGAGCTGTAATCGTAGAACATTTAGGAACAGAAAATCCATGCTGGGATCATTATAAGTCAGATGGAAAATTATCACCAAATAAATGCATCAGAGCTTACATTAAAATGTAAATAAATAATGGGATTGGGATACCATTGGAAATACTTCCACCATTTCTCCCATTCCCGATCTATATTGTAATCTTCTCAGATTCCTGGAGGGTGGAAGGCACATCCCATGCCCCTTTGCTTTGGAGATACAGCAAACCTTGATTCCATAGCTGTATTCAGAAAGAAGAGCAAACATATCTTTCCCTACCATTTATGGAGTTTTCCTAAGGAAAAAAAATACCACTGTTTGTGAAACAAATCAACTAGGATGGTAATATAATTATATTCCAATTTAGTTAAAAAACACATGAAAAATTTTTTAAAAGATACGATAGCTGTGTTTACCCCCTTAAGTACTCTCCAGCCCTAAAAACTTGCTTTTTCATCGTTCTGTATTTACCACCAGATTAAAATCAAGTCTGAACTTTCCTGTTGCATCTCTCCTTGTTCTCAGAGAATTGAACACATGTAATACAAGTGTGCTTTTCACCCAGTTGGTCAAGTGTTTGGAAACATGGATGTGTATGTCAGTACAGAGGTCAAACCACTAAGATGTTTCTCAAATTAGTCATATGATTAAGGAAACAATTGGCTTAGATATTAGTGTAGTGTAATTCTTAATGTGATTACTCAGCACAGTTTATACCTTATCTCCAAAGCACAATTTTCCCTTTTCTTGCTAGCCTTAATAGTGCTTTTTGAAGGCTATTTAAATTTTACCTCTCACCTCTTTTTCCATCAAGTGAATTCAGTTGATTTCTTTGTGTTATTCACTTTCTTCCTTGAAATATTCCATGAATTATAAATGTCAATGTAATCAAATACTTCTCTCATTTCACACCTTATTTTTAGATTATCACGATTTAAATATTACTATATTATATTGTTTAGGATTTTTCCTAGATATGTTTCTTAAAATTTGAGTTAGAATTTTTTAAGGCTTATCTTTGACAAGTGCTATAATAGATATTCTTATACATTTGAAGTGCTTTGATGGAATTAAAAGTCACTCTGGGCTGAAATCACAATCAAAAGGAAACCTAGAAAACAGAGCATGAGTTTTTGTTGAATTTTGCTCTAATGGTTCCTAAATACTCTGTTTTCTAAAATATAAATATATTATGTTCCCCTGCTGCTATAAATATACTAATATTTGAATTATTCATTTTGCTATGAATGAACTATTCATTCACAAACATACTAGAAGATTAAAATTTATAAGAAATGCAATACAAATTTGCTTAAAGCATGGTGAGAAAAACTGGTAAGAGATACAAAGAACCGCAAGTCCTAGTTCATTAACTGCAGAAGTAAGTATTATAGTAATAAGTAATAAGTCCCTGGGTAGGAGTTTCCCATTTCACACCTCACAATGGAGTTCCTATAATCTCATGTGCATTCGGAAAATAACACTCTGCCACTCTGCATCTGAATAGTTCTTCATGCTGTACAAAGTGTTTTGTCATCCATTTCCTCATTTTATCAAATCCAAATGGGGTAGTCATTCAAATAATCTCATCCCTGTTAAGGAGACAGCAATCAGAAAGTCCAGGATGGGAAGACATGAGAACTTGTAACTAGAAAATTTCAGAACCTTCAAAGGAACCCTTGTCTTGTACTCCGAGGCCTTCATTTTTTTAAAACCCGGGCTCCTTTGGAATCAAACTCTCCTGATTTCAATAAAAACGAATTTAGTTACTTATATGCAACTTAGCACTAACGTTACAACAAATCATTTGAGGTGGCTATATAATTCAGATTTTACTTACATGATCCTCCTTTCTAAAAGCTAGTGATTTGAGCTGCCGAGAAACCAACTGAGAAAACCTTGTGCACTGCACAAGCTTAGTGAGGTGCTGGGCGGGGCTGGAGAGAAAGCTGTGCGGATATCCGTAGGCCTTTCTATCAAGGGTGACAGAATGGTCCCTAAAGAGCTTTTAAAGTATTTTTTTCCTAAGCTTCTCAGCAGATTTCTGCTTGAATGAGCATAAAATGTGGGTCAAACAAGAGTTATGGACTAAGCCACAAGAACTTTTGTCTCCCTCTGGGATCTGATTGCATGCTGGAGAATTTGAAGGGAAAGACAAGACAGATCGTGCAAGCCATCCTGATACCTAAACAATGCCCTCTTTGTGTTTGGAAATCCCTGGAATTTTTTTTTAAGTCAATTGGTTTGGTTGAACATTGGTTCTGTTATTTCAGATGATGACACCAGCCACTGAAGAGAAGTCAGAAAATAGTATTTCTGTTTGTTTCATATAATTTTTAAACCATATTAAAACCAAAACAAATTGAAGCATTCTTAAAATGTTGAAGATTAATTTAATGAACATTTAACATCTTAAATTTTATGTCCAGTTTGGAAATTCCTGAGATACTGTTTGATACCATGAAATTAGGTATGAGTTTTAAATTTAGAAACAGGGAAGGTAGAACTGTTCTTCCACCCTGGGCAATAAAAATAAATAAATAAACAAACAAGAGGCCACTGGGACAGATTGGAGAGGGTGGGTGAGAAGATGAATCGTTCAATAAGTTGCACGAGGGAATGATGACTGCGAGTTCCTCGGAGTGGCTGACCTGTAGGAGAAAAACCTGAAGCTACTTGCACAGACCACTGCTGGAAACTCTGCTTTCAATAAAGCTGATTTGTGGAATCTGTTCTAGAAGACGTTCATGTCCACTCATTGCCTTGGCAAACTTACCAAGCTATCACTCTGTGGGAGCAACTTTCCTGGGCAAGTGGTAGAGGGGGCTGGGTTGGGAGTGGGGGTGTGGGAATTGCTGGTTACAAAAGGTCATAGTGAATCAGTGTCTTATTTTCTTCTGGCCCAAAGTAGATGATCACTTCCAGTCAGGAGAAATTTAGCCTTGTCTCTTTCTGGAAAGGACAGGGCTCATGAGAGAAATAAAGGAAAATTCTTGAGTGAAATCAGAATGAACTCATTTGGAGGCAAAGTCTTTCACTCTGCATGCTTGTGGTTAATAAAAAAAGTTGGCATGCCTCATTTCCATGTTTATGCAACAGCAAAAATCAAAACATTTTAAAAATAAAATCCTGAGCAGTTTAAAATATAAAGAAAAGTGAAACTAATGTGTGAACACAGTAATCATCCAACAAAATCTGAGAGAATTGATATGGATAATTCTGGCTTTCAAATTGTATGCCCTTTTTTTCTGCCTGCTTTCTTTGTGGTCTATGAAGATCGACATGATCTAAAATATTGCTTTTTGAGAGATTTTATGTCTTCTTTGAATGACTACATACACGGTTTAAAATATTGTCTGTAGTTATTAAATTTATCACCAGAAATATTCCTGCAGAAAAGACAAAAAAGGGCCAAATCGCATCACCTCTCATGAATGGGCCTACATTGCTGAGGGTAGGCCCCCTAGCATAGCACGGAGGGGTGCTTTCCTGTTTTTCAGTAGTAGCTATGAATCTGCACTGAACCATCCACACACTTTGGTCTGTCCACTTTGGGGACAGAGATGTTCATTTAGTGGGTCAGTGTTGCTGAGCCTTTGTCAAATGGTCTAACCATGATGTGGCTTTCATCCATAATGTAAACTAAGAAGTGACAGCACTAATTTTTAACATACCAAGGTCCTTTAAATGCTATTTATCTGTTGCCTTTACTTCAACAAGTAGTATCCATGAAACTTAGTTTATAAAATGCAATAATAAAATTATTTTATCCTGGGCTTGAGAAAATTTTCATAAAGGTAGTTGATGAAATTGCCACAGGGAGCAGGACCTGAGGAAATGAAACAGGCAAGTAAATACTGATGGAGGAAGAGATTGAAGAGCATGGATCTTGGGAAGCCCAGAGACATGGGGTTGGGGTGGAGATGCTGGACAGCCAGGGTTAATAGGAGCGTGCGGCCAGGAGGTTTCTGCTCTGGATAGGAGTGATCATGGAACGAGGTGGAGGAATGCCACAAAAACTAGTTGACTTCTTGAAAATATTGCCTAAAACCAGTTATTTAGCAATCCATGAATTACTCGATTATTTTTCCACTTTTCATCAACATGTATTACATACATTATTTAAAACCATGATATTCACCCATTCTGCATTATGCCAGACGGTTTGCAGGTAAAAGTCTTATGGGTTTGGGAGAAGGGTGAAGGGAATATTGGTGTGTACCGACCTAGACTGTGAAAAACATTCATTTACATTTTCACTGGATT